ACCCCCACCCCGACTCCTCTCTCTCCCGATGCATTAGGCGCTGCCTTTTTTCCCCCATTCCTCTTGTTTTCCCCGTTTTGCATTCGTTCGCTAAATAAACGTGGCGCTATTTCGCCTGTGTGTGTGTGTGTGTGTGTGCCTGCATGTGCATTTTTTTTTTCAACACGCACACACACTGCCGTTTGTTTATTTTGCTTCTTGTCTGTATAGGTTTTTTTTCTTTTTTTGGCCACGGTGTCTTGTGTTGTCGTCGCGTTGGCAAAGATGGAAATCAATCTGCAAAAAAAAAGTCGACATGCGGCAACCGTCAGCCACGCCAACGCATATTGGTTGTGGGTGTTTTTTTTTCTTTTTACATATTGTCTTCTGCTTTTTGATTACCTGTTATTACCGTTGTTGTAATTTTTGTTACTACTCCTACTAGTGGGATACGGGATACCTATGTATGTATTGATGTATACAGGCACAGATGCATGGGGGAACCGCTAGGAGAGCTCTTGTTGTGACTACTCCTATTACTCTTTGTCTTGGCAGCCACCGTCATGTTGCAATGATGCGGGTTATCTTCGCTATGCCACGAACGTGACATTGCCGCCCCGGTACGATGCTGGGGGGTAGGGCATACGTGCGTGCGTTGTTCGCAAGGCGAGGGAAAAAACGATGGAGATAAACTAAAATAGTGTTACGGGAAATGAGAAAAGAAATATGAGTGGAAGAGGTTGTCCTCACACCACTTGAGTGTTGGCTGTACAGCCGCGTCCTTATTTATTGTTTTTGGTGGTAGTGTGTGTGTGTGTGGCTTTTGCGCAGGAAGGGACTCCGCGAAACATGCACGCTTGCTGCAAGAAAGGCGCGGGGGGTGGCCAGGGCAAAGTGGAGGGGCATATCTTCCAGTCCCCTACAGGCACACGGAGGAAGCCCGGTTGACTGTATCACACAACCACCCAGGTGCTGCGATTGACTTAGACAATGAGATGCGCACGGGTTTTTACAATAAAAATTTTGCGTGCTGTGCCGTCTCTTGAAATATGTCTTCCTTTTAAAGCGGCGCACATTGAAAAAGTTTTCTTCTACCCAGTGTGTGGGGACGATTTACGACCTGGATGGGTTCAGTGGATAATAACGTCATAAATTTATTCACTAACTACCTTGTTTCTTTACCCATAGCTTGATGTTTTTGTTTTCCCAATGATACCGTGCTGGGGGCGGTGCGTGAGCGCAGATCTCCTTTCAATCCTTCGCCAGGCTAAGAGCACCCTCTACGTAGAGGGCGTCCGACGGTTGTGGAGGGAAGGGCCCTAGCGACTGCCACCTCGCAGACTTCCAACGAGAGCGCGGTTTTCATAAAGCTACTTTTGTACGGATTTGTTTATTTATGATTATGCGTGAGAAAGTGTGGGTGGGGGAGGTTGAGTGCAATGAGGCTGGTTTTGTGCTTCTATGCTGTGTCCTTTCTCTCTGTGTGTGAGAGAGAGAGCAGGATGAACAAGGCCACAGCCAGGCGTGTGTTTATGGTTACTGTTTGCGTTGTTGTGTGTTTGCGTTTATTTTATTGTTCTTTAATTCATTACCTCCCTTGCGTTACTGTTGTTTTTGCTGTGACGCGCCACTCCTATACACAGGCTGCTTTTGGGTGATCCTAGCCGCGCCAATATGTTTCACCTTCCCCTTGTCCTTCTGCCAGTTTTTTTTTTTTTCGGTTATTACTTTCTCCGTACTTCCATTGCCGCCCCTTTCTGGCGCGAAAAGGGCAATGCAAGTACCTACACATAAATGAGCATGTCGATATGTATTTTGCTGAGAAGAAAAAATAATGAAAAACGGAGAATGAGAGATTGAGTGGGGCCGACGCACTATTTTCTCTTTCCCATATTTACTGCAGTACTTTTTATTTTGTGGTACTTTTGTCTTTTGCCTTTTGTTTTTTGCTGTTTTTTTTCTTTTTTTTTTTTTCTTCTCAGCTCATCAGACGCATTTTTTTTTGTTGTTGTTGTTCTTTGGGGCTTAAAAA